ATTTATATTCTTAAAAAATCGATACTTTGTGTTATATTGTATTTTCAGCGATTATCGGTTTTAACTAGGAGCACTTCTTTTCTTATGTTCTGTATCCAACCGGTTTGCTTACTATCAATTAATTCACTGATTTCGGTCTAGTTGATAGCACTCAACATAATTTAATACTACTTCTATTTGCGTGTACATATCCTCGTCACCACTATGGCAACCGCCGTTACGTTTATTTTACCATTACTTTGGTAAGGATAATGGGCAGTATTAATTAAATTCCCTTTTGGCGTAACTCACTTTTATTCAAGCACTGCATACAAGGGGGATTTATTAACACTCTCTCGTTTGAGATGCTCACGCTTCACACGCTATGTGGCGAATGCCGCTCGCCTGAGTTCGGCCGATGCGCGCGCAACCTTTGTGATCTCGGTCTATCCACCGACGAGATACTGTTAAAGACCGACAGCCCTGGGCAAATTTTCGTGCCAACAAATGGGCCCGGTGGGCCCGGAGGTAATTGCAGAGTGTCGATGTTATCAACTTTTGACATAAATTTGCGATTTATTTGAATAATACATTATTAAGATCATAATTTTTATTATATAAATGCTTTATAAATAAGTATGAATACTTATAATGCTATAATATCAAATATATTGTCGCAAAATTAAATTTTTTTTCCAACTGTTTTACCATCTCTCTGGAATCGAACTCGTGTGGTAACTATAAAAATGCAGTTTTAAATAAAATTAACTATTAGCAAGATATAATACATATGGATTACAATGTACAATGTCTAAAAAACATTGATCTATTAATAAATCATAAAATTAATGTTATATTATTGACTAATTGCTTAAATTTTAACAATTACTAAACATGCCATGCTAAGTCCCGTAAGGGTGTCGGTCTTTATAAAATATAAGAGTATCTCGTCGGTGATCTCTCACAAAGTGATTAAAATAATTTAAAAATATATACTATTTAAGTATCTTTTGAAGTCAACACAGTTATTGTAGTATGATAACGTGTTTATTTATTATGATTTATAAAAAAAAGAAAAGAGGAAATTTTTTCCTTTTTTTTTTTTATAATTTATAACAAACATTATCACGCTACAATAACTACGTTGGGTCAAAAGGATATTTAATTACTCTTCGATTTATCATCTTGGATCCTAATATTATAATTTATTTATTTTATTTTATTTTATTCAAAACAATATTTTTTTATATTTTTAAACAAGATTATAAAATTAAAAATTTGTAAATGCAAAATAATATTTTAAAAAGTAGTTTCCCGCGTTTTAAAATAAGCATTTTTAAAAATATTTCTGTTTTCTAAAAATATTACCACAAAAAGTTAAAAAAGTTATAAATATTATTTTGTAATGTCACTAAAACCTGTTTAAAATCTTTTTTACTATAATTTTAAGAAATATTTTTTAAAACATTTCTCAATATTTTGTGCCGTATGAGAAAATATATTAATAAAGTGCATTATAAATTAACTTTTTATTATTACATCATTTAATTATTACACTATTGCACTATATTATTATTATTATTATTATTATTATTATTATTATTATTATTATTATTATTAAAGGCTAGATTAAAGTTTTGAAAACGCGTTAACCGTAGCTAGGTCTCTCCACTACAATTCGCCCGCGGCTGCCTCTTAGAACATATATAAATGGAAGAGAAATATCCATAAGATAAACAGAGAGGTCTACGTTCGATATACCTCTCTCTCTTGCTCTTTCTCTTGTGAGTGCTTTTTCGAAAGTACGCATGCGCGTCGTTTGGCGGGTTTGACCGCGCGCATGCGCACTTTCGAAAAAGCACTCATCAGAGAAAAAGCAAGAGAGAGAGATATATGATTTCCTTTCTCACTTCCATCGGACGCTTTTTGATTCTCCATTCCCTTTCCATTTATATATGTTCTAAGGCCTGCCTGCTCTATTGCCATCGTTCTCCACCATCAATGCTGCGCCGCGCACTGGGGCCTCAGGCGAGTGATAGTAGGGCAGTGGTGTAGTAAGTATTAAAAATAAAAGTGCCCTGGCGGTACTTGGAACGTAATAACGAAGAAGGGGGAGGTAGTGAAGATATTATTTCTCATATTTTTGTGTCAAAAATTTATTAAAAACTAAAAGTTTATCTTTCAAAGTTGGTATCTTTTAAGAAAACAGGCTTGGTATTACATGCATTATTATAACTTATTTTATATAAATAATAAATATTAATAATTTAAATTTATTCTAATCTACGTAAAAAGAGTCTACAATTCTTTTTTTATTGCTCTTATCTTCCATTCTATGGAGAACATGTCTTGACCGTGAATTATTTGCAGATGAGTGTGTTAACAACCAATGTTTTACATACGGTAAGAGGTTTTTGTACAACAGTGGTCCATTTAATTGAATGAAAAGAAGAGATAACATATGACATACAAGAAGCTTATTGCGAGTCGGTGTAATAAGTGGAAAAAATCAACGGAACGAGGTCTCAGCCTATCACAAATACTTCGATGCGTCGTGATAAGTTGAAACCTCGTTCCGTTGATTTTTTTCGTTCCATGAAACAGTAGGGAAATAAATCGTCTGAAATTTGCTCAGTTTCCATCGATATTTTACTCCATGGGACGGAGCTTTAAGTCTATGAAAAAGTGCCCTTGCGCCGCCAGACCATTGACGTAGGAATATATGGACGGTGAGTAAACTGGTTAGATAGGCAAGAGGGGTAGTGATATCGATGTAGCGGGATCACATGGATCACGTGGGATCAAACCACTTACTTCAAATATGTTCGGTAATATTCGACGCGTGCAGAGAGAGAAGACGCTTTCACAGAACAGTGACAGAATTAGCCGAAGTGAGCGTAATATTCCTACGCCTATGGTACTGTCCCCTTACCGCCGCTATTATCACTTCCCCTTCACAAAAGACTCCGTCCATGTATTTTTAAGTCCATGCGCCAAGCCGTCAGGGCCCGACTACACCATTGTAGTAGGGAGAACGCGCTAGTCGACTCAAATTGGTCGTTTAAAAATCTGAACTTTAATAATTATTATTATATTATATTATATTATTATATTATTTGCTTAATCTGTATATCAGATAATAGTATATTATTATTTTATTTATTTTTCTAAAATAATAGTTACTTCGCAAGTTAAGAAAGAATTTAGCTGATAAATTTATAGAAAATTCTATTCTGTATATACATATACACGCATTTAATAAAGTAATTAAATTACACATTTATTTACAATTCAAAGCAAAATGTAAAATATGTCAATATCATAATATATAAGCAAAAAAAGTATCGAGCGCAGATAACTGATCAGGATTCTTTTCTATCCAAACATCCATTTATATCAGTCAGTTAATGGATAAGTTTATAAAAATTTGTGGAACAATGGCGAATAGTTCTGCGCGTGTGTGGGTATATATTTAATAATTAATATTTTCCGCGTATTAATTTAGTAAAATGTAAAAGAAATATATATGTATAATATTATATGTATACATACGAGCGAAATAAGTATCGAGCATAAGTGGCTGAACGGGATCCTCTTTTATCCAGACGTCTGCTTATATATCTTCACGCTATTTATAAGTGTCTGAGTGTCAATACTCTTTCGCTCTCGCGTGCGCATAACTAACAACGGTATAACTACAATATTACGATCGATAATAATAGAGAGACTGTTTTATCTCGCGTAAGAAAAGAGAATTGTAAAACCGTTTGTCTTTAAATGACAAAAAATAAGGCTAATCTTGATATGATTCGTAGCGCAATCTCCGATAAGTACTTTCCTTTGAAGTACAATTTTTTTACATGGCTATAGTCTGTAAGTCGGAAATCTGAATTATGGCCCATTTCGATCAAACTCTGTAAAATAACATGTTGAATTGGCTATAAGATTAGCCATTACTTTTTTAAAGCCTCAATTAATGTGTATAAACCAAATTATAGTCAATGGAAAGATATTTTAAAAAAGTAACGTACCAATATAAGTTACAATTCTTCAATAATACTATTTGTATTTTCAAGGTGGAAGGCATATTCTTGTTCTCTAACGTGATATCGTTAGCTATAAACTTGTCATATAGAATGTTTCAAAAACAGACATTTCCAACAATATTTGTTATTTCGAAGTTTTCTAACAGAAAATTTATTTTTTAATTTACTCGCAGATGTTGCGAAATTTCAATAGATGCTTTTTCAACTTTATATAAAGTGTGACGATCTTTTAAAAATCATAAATTCTTTTACAGTTGTTTGTAAAATATATTATTCCGTAACGATAAAAATCATAACGTAATCAAAGAATGTTACTATGTGATTTATTATTAATTAGAAAATTGAAAAAGTCATTCGCTTTAATTTTTATAAAAACGGTTTTTATTGAAAATATTAAATTCACTCATCGATTACACTTTGAATCATAAAAAAATTTAATCGTTATTGTTGTCATCATTAAAGGTATAGGAAAGTTCAACATCTGTAAAAAATACGCATATACAGAGTGTCTAAAAAGTCCCGGGACACCTGAATACCATGGAAAATATAAGTTTTAGAGAAAAATGTTTCAAACAAAAGTTGAAGGATTCGAAAAGCTCTATTTATTGATCATATTGGTTTGACCTTGAGTGACGTTGCCAAAGACAGAGTAAGATCACTAAATTTTTTAAATGGAACTCTGTTTGATTGAACAGTTTAATATGAGTAAAAACTTTATTAATATTGAATAAGTGGACAATAACTTTTCGCACGTTACAACGAATACAACGGATATAACCATACATAAAGTAAGCCATGGACGTAGGAATACAAGGACGGAGCATTTGCTGGTTAGATAGGCGAGAGGGGTTTTGATAATCGAAGTGAGGGGATCACGCCTGGTCACGTGGTCACTTCCCTGACTTCGGTACATTTCGGTTATGTTCGGTAATATTTGATGCGTGCAGAGAGAAAGAAGACGCTTCCACAGAACTGCGTTTCTAACGTCTCTAACGTGTGAAATGTGTATCGTGTCTCTAAATATTTCTTCGTTATTTCTTCGATAATTATTAAATAATCATGAGTTATTGCATTGTTGTTGGATGCAAAAATCGCAACGTAAAAAAGAATTATGAACAAGAAATAGAAGAAGCTAGAAACCGAAAGTTTTCGTTTCATTTGTAAGTAAATTTTAAAGGTTATATTAATTCTACATTTATTATAATTGTATCAATAACGTTTAAATACAGTTACATTTGAAGTAATATATATTTTTTTTCTAGATTTTCACAGAATATTAAAAGAAAAAATAAGTGGCTTGAAGCCATAAATTTAAAAAATTATATTCCACGAAAAAAGCAGCTGTTTGTTCTGCTCATTTCAGAGAAGATGATTATGAACCAAAATACTTGTTTCGTAAATTAAAAAAAGATGCCGTTCCATATGTATGTATAATAATAATAATAATGAGTAAAAAATTGTTTATATGTACTGTATAATATTGTGATAAATAATAATTTATTATATAGTTGCTTGAAGAACGATCAGAGAATCAAGAAAGAATACAAAATCAAGAAACAAAACGTGTTAAAAAAAGTATAGAACATCATACAGTTGGTTCTTCCGATGGCGCTACAGCTGAAATCGAGCCTTGGCCTCCTCATACAGCTGGTTCTGCTTCTTCCGATGGCGCTACAGCTGAAATCGAGCCTTGGCCTTCTCATACAGCTGGTTCTGCTTCTTCCGATGGCGCTACAGCTGAAATCGAGCCTTGGCCTCCTCATACAGCTGATTCTGTTTCTTCCGATAGCGCTACAGCTGAAATCGAGTCTTGGCATCCTCATACAGCTGGTTCTGCTTCTTCCGATGGCGCTACAGCTGAAATCGAGCCTTGACATCCTCATACAGCTGGTTCTGCTTCTTTCGATGGCGCTACAGCTGAAATCGAGCCTTGGCATCCTCATACAGCTGGTTCTGCTTCTTCCGATGGCGCTTCAGTTGAAATCAAGCCTTGGGCTCTTTGTACAGCTGGTTAGTATTGTAAATAAATTATTATAAAATTCGAAATAAGAGAAAAGGAGCCGAGCCAGACGTAAGCGCTCAAATATTCAACATATATTTTTAAGAATCACACCTAAGACCGTATAATAAGGTCAAAACGTCTGTTATATGTATTTGTATTTAAAGTTTTTTTATTTGCGTTATTGTACTGATTATATATTGTGATTCTTAAGAATATATGTTGAATATTTGAGCGCTTACGTCTGGTTCGGCACTTTAGCTCTTCTTCTCTTATTTCGAATTTTATTCATATGAGCCTGAATACAATTTAAATTTTAAATTATAATTTGGATTCATGATCATTTTGTGTACTTATTTATTTACACGTTTTAATCTAAAATATTTTCTACAATATAAATATTTCTATTTATTTTATAATAATATAAGTTACGTGACAATATTTATAATGTATATTTATTGTTCGAGCATAGCCAATACAATGATAGATCCTTCGACTAGCGTACCTAATATAATGGTGGATCGGTCAACTAGCGTCTCTCCTGAGAGAATATTAAGAGGATGCTGAAAGGTCGGCCAAATTTGTACGAAGTCGATAAAGCAGACTCTTCAGTGTCAGTGGTATCTCTAAATGAACTTCTTACAATATCTTCTGTCTCGCTCAAACACGTGGAATGTCCTTATCTAACTTATTGAAGTGCCATCTCTTGGAAAATCCGGCACTACTGCCAAACGTAATTTTTGCTGTCTTTACCTCAGGCGAGCGTACGAATTACCACAAATTGCATTCTAAGTAATAATTGTTTTCTACGCTTCCAATCGTTGC